CTCCTCCCTTCTCTTCCTTCTCCCTTCTCTTCCTTCTCTCCTCTCCTTTCCTCTCCTTCTCTCCTCTCCTCTCCTCTCTCCTCTCCTCCCTTCTCTTCCTTCTCTCCTCTCTTCTCCACTCTTCTCTCCTCTGTTTCCGGTTGCGTGTGAGTGTGAGTGGCGGACGTGAGTGTGGCGCGGAGGTTTGATTGTATTTTCACTGCTTTGGGTTTTGTTCCTCTGTTCTTCTGTCTCTGCGCATGATCAGGTAAGATACTAAGCAGTGTATTTATCGGTAGAACGTGTGATTAGTGGTGTTTTGGCGTTGTTCGGGAGGATGGCGTCCTCCGAGACACCACGCCCGTCAATCCGGCAGGGAGTCCGGGTAGTTCCACCGGATAGCAGCGTGTCAGTAGAGGAGGTGCTACTGGCTGTCGGAGAGCAGGTGGCACATGACAAACTCTCCTTTGCATCTCGGATGAATGAAGCTGTGGTTGTGTTCGTGGCAAGCGAGGCTTATGTCCACAAGCTGATAGAGAGCGGCGTGTTTATCAGGGACAGCTTCGTGCAGGTCTCTCCGCTCTCAGTGCCCTCTACGCGGATCACCGTGTCCGGTGTTCCGCCGTTTATACCGAACGAGCTGTTAGAAAATGAGCTGCGCAGGTTTGGAAAGTTTGCCAGCGGATTTAAAACAGTCAGTTTGGGGTGTAAGGATCCCAAACTGAAGCACGTGCTGTCTCTTAGGCGGTAGGTCTTCATGTTCCTGGAGTCACCTACACAAACACTGGAGGTGTCCTTCAGGGTTAAACACGGGGAGGGTTCATACATGGTGTACGCTAGCTCGGGACAGATCAAATGCTTTGAGTGTGGAGATGTAGGACACAAACGATTCGCGTGTCCGCACAAGCGGCAGAGAGGCGCGGAGGTGGAGCCGAATGATGAAGCACAGAGTGTAGGGTTTGTGTCCAACAGCCAGCTGTCTTGTGAAGGAGAGGACATGGAGTATGAGAGTGAATCAGATGTTGCATCTAATTCTGAAACGTGCATTAAAGGCACTGATCTGTATTCACTAGAGGAAATAAACTCGTTTTTGGATGTAACTTACAATAGATCTGCAAAAGTGAGTGATTATTTCCCCGACATTGAGAAGTTCATACGATCTGTTGGGGTGGCGCAGAGAAAGGTGGGTTTGGACGTTCTAGATGGAAAAAAGCGCTTCCGCCTAAAGAAACACATCACAATCTTGAGGAAAGTAAGGAAAAGTGGAAGAGTTCAAAAAACTAAGACAGTTTAACATGATCATGTGTCACACGGGGTTTTCCACTTTCCACTGCTTACTTGTCTTGCCTCCTTCCATCCTCTGACCTTTCTATGCAGAGCTTCAATTTAGGGTCTTTAAACATCAATGGTGGGCGGGACGGGCATAAAAGAGCATTAATACAGGAGGTTGTAAATCAAAAAAGGTTGGACATCCTCTTTTTGCAAGAAACTCACACCATTCCAACAGATGAAGTAGAGGGGTTTATGGTGGGAGGGCTCATGCACCCTGAGCCACGGCACCAATCTTAGTGCCGGGGTAGCCGTGCTGTTTAGAACAGCAGCTAATGCAACCGTCCTGTCAGTCACTGAGGTGGTGAAGGGTCGTTTGCTGATGGTGAGGGCAGAGATAGAGAGCTCGCTTTACTGCTTCGTGAACATATATGCACCGAATCAGGGGCCAGAAAGAGCACGCTTCTTCACTATGCTGCAAAACGAACTGCAGAGCTGCCATCAGGAGCAACTGATCATCGGAGGGGATTTTAACTGTACTCTAGCCTTCACCATAGACCGGAATAGTGAGGAACCACACCCACAGTCAGCTCAGAGTCTCCACAAC